CACTTTTAACCGCCGTGTCCGAGCCTTAATTACATATTATTTACAATATAATTAGGGATCTTAAGAGTGCTGTAAATAATGCAAGACGTAATCAAGGTGCTAACTGCTGCTGCTTGAGCTATGATTGATGACTCGGGCTATGACATTTTAATTAAGGCCACCATAAGAGCTGGGCACATGATGACTAATTCTCCTCACCTCGAGCCCAGAGAGCATCATTTTTTAACTCACAGTATTAATGGAAAGGCAAAAAAAAAAAAAGGCAGCGTTCTTGGCAGCGGTGACGGCGAAGCTGGAGATCAGAAAAGAGAGAGAGATTCACGTGGGAACGGAAAACTCAGACTGATAGATGTCGAAATTTGGGATCTCAGATATGTTGAGATGCACCCCCCCCCCCCCCCACCATCCTGTTTCAGAGTGTTATCATGTTTCCATGGTAACCAGCGACCACTTGACCATAGAATTAAACTTTGCAGCTGAGCAGGTCAAACCAGACCTAATGTTGCGTCGATGAGTTTCCATGGATTCGTTTCAACAACGACTGGATCATTTCTGCTCTCAGTTTAATGCCTTTTTACTTACAGTACTGCACAGGGACTCTGCTTAAGACTCGCTCTGCTGTTCTGTTTTAACAGACAATATGAACAAAAATAATTCACTGTTGGGGCTCCTCGGCCTCTGGTTGACTCTGTTATCAGTTATATTTGAATTTATTGTCTTATCAGAATCATATTACGCTGAAACCATGATGAAACTATTGTGACGCACAAAGCCGAGATTAATTAAGTAAATATTCATTTAAACGGGTCATGGATGAAATCTCAAACAAATGAACTTTGATTGCACATCACTGAACTGTGTTCCACTTCCTCTTCGCTGCCTTGCAGCCTCAGGCCATGCACATTTTTATCTGGTGATCACCCTGATTTACATATCCATCTTCAACGGTAAACATCAACTGAAAGGTCATGACCTTTGTGGCTACGGTGAACGTGTTGTTCTCATTTAACTCCATAAACGTCGACGTTTTAATTGATTTTTTTATGTCTTGAAGTTTTTTTGAACAATTTGAAGAACTGTGATGATTTAATGTACAATTTGAAGAACTGTGATGATTTAATGTAAACAAAGATGACTTTGTCCACTCTTACTGCTAGGTTTTTTTTTGCTAAGTCTTTGTTACAAGGAAACTTTAAATTTACAAAAAGTTACAAACCAGTAGATCGACTCACATAATGATACATATTTTTCATAATTTTCCTAGAAGACATCAGAGCAGTAAATCAACGCTCCGTGTAGTTAGTGGATAAAACGGCTGATTTCTCCAGTGTATGGTTCAGCCTGATCCTAAATGCAGTGTCTGACTCCGGCTTATGTCACTGTGTATCCAGCACATGCTGACACAGAGTGCTACAGTTAATTGCATCACATTCATTTCGCTCTTGCCTTTTTTCGGCTGATGCTACGAGCAACAAAGACACAAAGGAAGCCATGGCAACTAAGAGAGGCTGAGAAACACCAATTATTTTACCAATGACATGGCTAATGCAAGGAGAGACTGAACTCCAAGTCCTGATCCCAGACCATAATTCAGCTGACACGTCTGCCGAGGCTGTGCATGATAATGTGTGCTATTACCTGCCAGATCTGTGGCAGCACAGTGGAGCTATTCATCCACACTCCGGCCTTGTTCTGGAGTCAGGCTTTACAATGTAAACACAGCAACGTGTTACAAAACACATCAGTGTTTGCAAAACATGTGTCTTCCCCCGAGTTCTTTTACCGAGTATTACTGAAAAGAGGGCTGGACGTCGGTGGTGGCGGTTTTGAACAACGACAATTACATCTTGTTCTGCCACATTTCTTTAATATCCTGTCTGATGGTCTGTGGCTGAGGTCTGAAACTGTTGAGCTTTATTTACTAGATTAAAAAAAAGTGTTGCACTCAACTCGAGCTTGTAAAACTTTGTGTAAAACTACAGTAAAAAAAAGAAGTAAAAAGTAAAAGTATTCCTGCCATTTCTCTCACATGACGCAACACGATCCAGATAAATATAACGTCTAAATGTTGTTGGAAATAAATCATGTGCAGCATCAACAGAGATCGGACTTTCCACTATTTTGTTTGACATATCACGGGAGGTTGGATCCTCTGTAATACTTCCGCGATGATATCACTGACAGATCTGCCTGTTCCTGTGACTCCAAAACCTAAACGATAATTTTTTAACGGTGTTGACAGCTTTCTTTTAATCACCGGAGAATTTGATTTTAACAAAATAAAAACATCCTGCCAACCTCATGCATTTGCCATGGAATAACATGACAATAAATTTCAGTTAGAAACTCATCCGTAAACTATCGAGACAGATTATGATTATGATTATGATTATTATCATTATAGCCCGGGGTAAGGAGAACCAGGGTTTGCCGTTGACGACACTAACAATCACGTCACACAGGAATAAAAAAAGCCCCGTGACAACTTTGTTCAGGTGTTAAACACTAAATACCTATTGGAGTGGAAACAATAAAGCTGCTAATAGTTGGAGCTGAGTGACTTTATTGCACTTGGCACAATAAATGAGACTGCTGCTCTTAACCCTTGGGGTGCTAGTATTTATACAACGTTTCAGGCCACATTTACATAACGGTGTTCACTGTGTTCAATTACTACTAAAATTTGACAGTTTACATGTTTAACTACCAGTGTCTCATTTCCAGGTGACGGTAGCTGGTTCCTGTACTAGCCTTTGACTTTGCTACTGCTGGTCAAATACAAATACAACGTTAAATGGATGCCGTTCACATGGAGCAGAATGTTTAGTCTAAAACCTCATGCACTAAAATCTAAATTGTAAATCTGAACAGATTTAGGTGAGTGTCGACTGCTTTATCCAAGAAAAAAATCATTTAAAACTATATAGTTTTATATAGTATATAGTTTTAAATTGTAAACTTTATACCCGTGATGTGGGACGTTCAGTTCAACTGACTCTTTGCAGAATTTAAATGACCGGTGACTTCTTGATTTCAGAAAAATCCATTATAGTAATTGACAATTAAAAACTTAATGGCCAAAGAGTGAAATCAATGTCATAAAACTCAGGCTCCAATTGGACAGTTGTATCATTTAATATTTTGTGTTCATCTAAATAAAACTTGACACCATGTTCCTCTTGAAAAGACATTAAAATAGTCCTGAAGTCTATATATATATACGTTAAATAAAACTTGACACCGTGTTCCTCTTGAAAATACATTAAAATAGTCCTGAAGTATATATAAATATTTGTGTATTTAAGTACAACTTTACTGATGTCATAAATCAAGTTGCCCTGTTTCCCTTCATACCAGGACAAACTTACTCTCTGTACTTCTGGTTTCACTTTGTTGCAACAACAACAGCAGCTGCATCCATTTCTTAAGACCAAGAGAGTCATTTAACACCAGATCTACGGCTTTCCACAGGAACTGGCTGCTTCTGTATGGCCTCATATAGTCAGTCAGTCAGTTCAACATCAGAAAAAACTGAAATGTTCCGGAACAAAATGAGTGTTCAGGAGTGGGTGGCTGGAATTTAATTACACTGCCATTTGAACAAAGGCCGATTCCTGCGCACTAATACAACTGTTGAAGCTCAGTACATCTGTATTTAACTGTGTTGGCCCACAAACATAATGGGGGACAATCTGGACGTCCGTCTGTCCCTCTGTCCCTTCATGGAACAACTGCCTACAACTGCCCTTTTGGACAAAACCACTTCAGAATGTTGCCACAGTCTGTGGACCGCAGTGTTAACATGTATGGACCACATAACGACTACAGTGCCAACCACTGTGGCCTGTTGGTCACAGCTGCGACCGAGACCAAGTTTGATCACCACAGTGTTGCCGCGTCCAGTCTGGACTGTGTTCTCACTGATGATCTGGAAGGCAATGACCGTTACTTCCGCTGACTCATACAAAAGATCCTGGAACTAACGTGTACTTTAAACTGCTGAGGTTCTGGTTTTTCATTTGGTTATTTAACTAAAAGAAAACAAACAAAACAAACAAAAAAAGGATCTGTGACTTTATGAGTTGGTTTGTTGTCAGGTTGATGAGACGTTTCCTTAAAAACTGGTCGACCGTTGAGACGCAGTCGCGACACTTACCTTCCTCGGAGGAGCGATCAGCCAACGAAATGATCAGTTAATCTGGATTAAAAAACGTTCAGCTCTCCATCCTGACGGCAGAGGGACCAGTGGCATCACAGCATGTTTCCTTTGTTTGTTTGTTTGTTTTAACTCCTCGATTCAAACTTCTCCGTGGTCGCGTCGCCCCTGTTTTGTCCTGCAACCTTGTAACTGGCACAGATGTTTGAATTATTGAGAGAGTGTTTTCTTCCCTTGGCCGCTGCCCCGGGGAGAGATCGGTTACAAGAGTTCGCTGTAACCCGAATCCGCCCACTTGTGAAACTGCAGAAAAAAAAGTTTCAAACTTGACGAAGGGAAGCCGGACCTTGATAGATTGATGGGTCGTTTGGACCAATGATGAAGCAGCAAGTGGGAGGGCGGCAGGCAGGCTAATGAAGCCAGAAGAAAGGAGTGTTTTACGGCCACACGGTCTCCCCTGCTCCCGTTACTGTTTCCAGTCATTATACTGGTCCAGGGCACGGACTTCAGGCTGAACTTCTGCCTGTAGGAAACGGTGTTAAAAGGGAACAATGTGCAGGAACTGTGTGGTCAACTGACAGTGATAAATAATGAGATAAGACGCATCATTGAGGTGATTAGATTTTATTATCATTGAATAAAAAACCCCCCGAGAATTCATGTTTCATCATTTTCTAAAGTAATTCTGTCCTCACATCTAGATTTAAGCAAAACTGAATTTATGAACCTGTGTTTTCATCTGTGTTACCTGGTCAAAACAACACATGGAAATGTTACTGGATTTTTAATATGAAATAGTCCTACATTGACCCAAACACGGTTCTGATTACCATGTGAATGTGTCACCATTACCAGGTTAGATGACTGTGTAAAACTAAAGCAGAATAAAATTTTAACTCCAAAGTTAAGGCCAGAATCTGAATGCAATCCGATGCATTCACACAGTGAGTAGGTTTTACGAGCAGGAATTACAGGAATAATAATAAAAAAAAAATTAGGACAACCTGACACTAGCCAAGTGTTGAAGCTGTCATGTTTTAAGTTAAGGCCAGAATCTGAATGCAATCTTTTGAATTATTTGTTTGTTATTGTGGTGGTGCCTCTCTGGTGTAGGTGCAGCTCTACAGAAAATCATGGCTTTTCACCAAGTTAACCATATCATTACTACAACCAGTCACATCCCCCACTTTGATTGGTCTGTCCTAATTTTTAATTTTTCTTATATACGTTGGACAATTACTGTTTACTAAAGGAAATGTGGTACTGGGTGGAAAATATTACAATACAAAGATATTACAATGAAAGAGAGAGAGAGAGGGGGGGGGTAGGAAGGAGGGAGGCATTTTCAGCGGATGTTTTCAGGATAGAGGAAGTTTGTCCTCATCTGTCTAATGAGGACACCGGAATTCCTGCGGTCGAAATAGTCTTGTTGCACTGCATTGTTTTTTCAACAATACGATAATGTCATGGTAGCCCTTTTACTGCCAGAAAAACCAGGTCGACACGTAATTCTTGTATTAGTGTAGGTTTTTTTTGTAGAAGAACCCAGAAAGGCAAAGTGGAACAAGCGCGCCCTCTAGCGGTACTATAGGGAAATTCAGGTACCTCAGTACCCGTGCTGTGAATACGATACGTTTGAACTAATTGCAGGTAATAATGCTAAAATAAAATAAAAATATATAAAAATAAAAAAATCGAAAAAATTGTAAATACATTTTAAGTTGTCTTATATGCCCAGATGGTAGCCGGAAGTCTCCAACCTAAGATACAAGATAAGAAAATTGCAATATCTTAAGAATTACGATATGTATATATATTTATATTTATAAATTTATATGTATATATATATATTATTTCAACATTATATCAACAATATCACTACGCATCCGTTAACGTTTCCCTGTTTGCCGGAATTAAGTATAAGAAGCAACAGGAAATGACGTCACATTGCTACGTGTCAGGAAATTGTATGTTGTCAACATGGCGGCGCAGCAGAACGATGTCGATGAATTATTCGATGTGAAAAACGCGTATTACATTGGCAGCTATCAACAATGTATCAACGAGGCTCAGAAAGTGAAGGTAGGTGATCAGTATGAGCATGTTAATGATTATAGGTCCTCCAGTTTGTTTATTTGTATGCTTCTGTGGCTAACGTTAGCTAAACAACTAGCACTGAAGCTGGCGTTTATGGAGCTAATACAACTTTCTCTGCTGTTCTCTTTATATTATTTCTCAAGCCAACGTCACCAGAGAAGGAAACTGAAAGAGACGTGTTTTTGTACAGAGCGTACATCGCCCAGGTTAGTGATGAGCTCTTTATTGACACTTGACATTTTACGTGTCGTAATTGACAGTGTCATTTTACGTCACGTACCTCTTCCACCAGTCACAGACTTCGTCGTTCTTATAGTAATCTGCTGTATTCTGTATTACTCTAGAAAAAATATGCTGTTGTCTTGGATGACATCAAGGCAAACTCGTCACCAGAGCTCCAAGCTGTTAGGATGTTTGCTGAGTATATGTCAAACGAAGGAAAAAGGTAAGGAGTCGAATTTCAAAAAAACTTTAATAAAACTTATTGATATTTTGAAACTGTTTTAAAATTGATCAGTGCTGTGAATGTGAGTATCCAATAAAATAATGTTTTAACTTGTATGCAATGATGATGCAATGTCAGAGGTCTTTCTCACCTAATCTTGTTGTCTTTATTGTTTTTGTTTTCTGGCAGAGATGCCATTGTTGACGAGCTAGATAAAAAGATGGTGAAGAGTGTGGATGCTGCCAACACCACCTTCCTAGTAATGGCCGCCTCCATCTACTTTCATGAGATGAACACTGACGCAGCACTGAGGACGCTGCACCAAGGAGAAAGTCTGGAGTGGTAATACCAGATAAAGTTTTCAGAGCCATGGTTTACCTTAATGTTTGGCTTGATTTTCATCACATGTATAGAAAAAGTTAACATGTATTTTTAAGGGTAACTTTTTGTTGTGTATGTATTATCTTACCTGAAAAAAGTTTGATTTTTCTTAATCAAAGTTAAATACATCTAATACATTTTTCCTCTTTGTGTTTTTTCAGCATGGCCATGACCATTCAGGTGTTGCTAAGTCTTGATCGTGTTGATTTGGCAAGGTATGGTTAAGTGCATAAATAGTTTGGCTTTTTGTTTTTTAAGTTTTTAGAGCTGAAATAAGCCACATATCTCACCAATCTATCTACTACAGCACACATAGTTTGGCTTTTTACTTTCTAGGTTTTTAGCCACACATCTCACCAATCTATCTACTACAGCACAAAGTACAAACATCAAACTTTAAACCCATAACCTACAGTGACCCTTTAAAATGATGGTATAAAGGCACCAGGAAAGTAGTTGTTGAAGCTTAGAATACTGACATTCTGGAATGATGATGTTAAGTAAAAGGCTTAATTCCTACAGTCCTGTATCGCTTTATAAGTCCTGATGTTCTTTGTTGAAATGTAGGTCAAGTTCAACCTGTTTCCTGTTTATTCTGAAAACCTCTGTGATATTTTCTTTAATGTCAGTTTTCTAGGAAAAATCATTTCTTTGCCCATAAGTTTCCTTTTTATACAAGTGATGGTATTTTAATCCACAAATATCACTAGCCTTTTCATCGCACTAATGTTACACTTTTTTCATGGGCAGAAAAGAACTGAAGAAGATGCAGGAGCAAGATGAGGATGCTACGCTAACACAGCTAGCTACTGCCTGGGTTAATATAGCTGTGGTAAGGACACGGCTATTCTTTATCTCCATCTGCATTTAATTACAGTTGATTTATGATCCGATGTTTATAAAGTGGTAAGAGTGACCACTGTAAAGAATCTTGCGGATGCTCTCCCAAATAGTTTATAAAAAGCCATAATATAAGACCACAGTATAATCACTTTAATATTTATACTTTGAGAACCTTCAGTAGTCATTGACAAACACTAAGACTTTGGTTCTTCTCACTCATATATCACATTACTGTGTTGTTTGCCCAGGGTGGTGAAAAGCTGCAGGACGCCTACTATATTTTCCAGGAGATGTCAGACAAGTATTCGTCTACACTGCTTCTTCTCAACGGGCAGGCGGCCAGTTACATGGCTCAGAATAAGTGGGAGGAGGCTGAGGGAGTGCTACAGGAGGCGCTGGACAAGGTTGTATGACGGTTGAACTTGTATGTCTATTATTGTCTGTATCTGTGTGTTTTGGTGTTTTTTAATTATGTTGACGTATTGAATGTATGGAATCAAGGCAACAAAGGCACAGCTGCTAATTAAGCCGAGGGTCTTAATGGCTTCATCAAAAGCTAGGTATTTATTTACAGGAGGTCGTGGCCGTCAGCCAATGTCAACCAATGTGTTGCTGGAACAAGCAAATAAAGGAAGGGACTGTTTACCTCAGGCATATTGAGAAAAGATAATGTTACTCGCTCTGTGGTTGTTTAGTCAACAAACCAGAAGTTATTACCAGTAATTTAAGATGACATTTAGATTAGACTTACAAGATGTGCATGCTTTTTCAAATGTGTTGTAGGTATAAAAAAAATACCATATTTTTTATATCGTGTTGATATTAACATGTATTATACTCCAAAGGTATAACATGTCTAAATGTAAAGTCAGCTTTATCTCATCGGTTGGTCTGGTAAAAAAAATGCTTAGATTGTAACAGCAGATGGCACCATCTGTACTGTAAGTGAATAAGGCTTGGCTGGTGTACATAATTGACAATGTACAAGCTGTTACTCTTGTCATTCCTTGGACTCTGATTACACTGTTAATGTTGTATTGTTTAACTTGTACAGTGTTAATATGAGTCCAACAGACACAACAAGCTCCAGTGGAGTGGAGGTCTTTACACACAAAGGGCTGGGTTAGCTGCAAATGTGCTTCAGCTCTATCGGCTTCCATGGTCTGTAAAGCTCAACCTCACAACTCATTACCTTCTGATGAGTGCACTGAATTAATTCAGCAAATACAGAGTTAGTTAACTGCAAATCTGCACAAAAATGTCAGGGGTTTTTATCAGGTCCAGGTCCTGTCTCTGCTGTGCTTTAACACTGAGGAGATTCAGTTCATTTCATTCAGTTGTTTGAAATGTTCCACACACACACACTGTGGTTTCCTCTGGTCTGTGGAGCTCTGTGAGAATAAAGGCTTCGTTAACATCTCCGTAGACTTGGACACAGTGAACAGTTGTGCTGCCGTGTGGAGTTCATCCATGGACTTTAAACAATGGCCAGTGATTGTCAGAGGAGATACTTAAAAGGAGGCTTTTCTCTCCTTGTTTGACTGCGGAGTCCATTTGCATGTACAAATATCCTGACTTCGAAATTGACTTTTAAACAATCAGATAATGACACGTATACAGGGTTGGTTGGTTTGACGCAGTTGTCAACGCACGTCACAACTGTTTACATGAACTCTGATCAGTGTACAACACTTCATCTAAATGAAAGGTTCATTAATATCTCTGTTCTGATTATTTCTCTCTGTGTGAAACAGACTTGACCTGCTTCAGTTGTTGAATGTCTTTAAGCTACAGTTGTGTTTCTCTGTTGGTCTAATGTAGGTTAAAGTGAAGGGTGCATGGCCGTGTTGATGAGTGTTGAAGTGTAAACTTTAATCTCATTCTTTGGTGATCTCTATCTTTCTTATAGGACAGCAGCCACGCTGAGACGTTAATCAACCTCATAGTACTGACTCAGCACCTGGGCAAAGCTCCTGAGGTGAGACTTTGGACTCGACTCTATCAACTAACTAAGCCGTAATGTCAGCTGTTCAGGTTCTAATAGAGAAACTGAATGTTTTGTTTTAAGGAACAAAAAAAAAAAATACGCGCACTCAATGAACTCATTAGGAATGTGTTATTGTTTTGGCTTCGATGGCCAGTTCTCAGTTTATTGATTCTCTTTTTTTCCATTGAAAACAAGAGTCTGCTCAAAGGACATCTTCTTTAGTGCCTCTTATCGTACCGACGTTTGATGGATTTGATAGTAATGCAATAAAATGCTGACCATTGACTCAAAGCTGCGGTCGATACATGTTCAGCTGTGATAAGAGCTTACTTCACTCAAGGTTCTCTGGGAGAACGGCGTTCATCACTGTGTGTTTTTAATGTGATCTTTGTCTGTTCACTCAATAATCATTTAGCAGAAAGGCTAAACTAAACACTCTTGGGTTTTTTTTATTATGATCAAAAGCTAAACTAGTTGAAGCAGCAGGGTTGTCTTAACTGATGAGTTAAAGATGTCGCTGCTCAACACATGACAGATTCCTCCCCTGTTGCACCATTGCCTGGGTTCTGTCAGAGCGGGACCAATGACATCTTGTAAAACCCTTGTGGTTTAGAAGCCTGGGCTCCAAAGGAATGAAAAACAAAGTTGTAGTGGGCATCAGACTTCACTGGCATCCAACCACTGGAGTGCTGCTCAACCACAATCAGCACAGGCATGTGGATGTGGACGAGGACACACAAGCTGAACAACAAAAGCACTTATGGGAGTAATTTACCTACAGACTTGAGGAGTCGTTGCACCAGGGAAATGGTCATTAACTGGAGACCTTAGCAGACCAAATGGATCACATCTGATTACATACTTTCTTTAGAGTTGTCTATATTATTTTAGTATATTTTTTTTTTTACATATTTTCATTCCTTTTTTTATCAATAGACTAAATTCAAAAGGGCAAATATTAAGGGAATAACCAGAAATGTTTCCTTAAGAGGTTTATCTTAAAGTAAATAACCACATCCTAGGCTAACTAGCTTAACTTTAATGTGATTGGATAATAAATGAGGGCGTGGTCCTACAAACCTATTAACTGTCACCTTCTGTCTCTTCTCTGCCAGGTGACCAATCGGTACCTCTCTCAGCTGAAGGACGCTCACAGAGCCCACCCATTTCTGAAGGACTACGTTGCCAAGGTAACGAACGTCCTCACAGTGTGTTACATTTGTACTGGAATGTATTTTATTCTCGATGCTGAAGTTGCAGATCGTCCTGGTCGTTTAATTCTTTGACATGTTTGATATAAAATTTTAAAAATGTTGCTTCTAAACCTTTGTCCAAAAATGATGTATGATACAAAAAAGGCTTTTGTAACAGATGTTTGTAGACTCTCAGACAAACCCGTGCCCAGCACTCAGGGCTATTCAAGTTCAACGTTGTTGTGTTTGTTTTCAGTCTGAGTGAGTCACCGTGGAGCAAAGCCAAGAAATGCTTTGAACTCCAGTCTTTTTTTTCCCCTTGTCACACAGCGTGTTTTGCAGATGTACAAACATGTTGAAGTTTTTTCTGTGTCATGGCATTTCCAAACAAACCAAGTGATGCACAGCTGTTCCTAAGATCAGTTTTGTTTGTGTTTTAATGATTTTTTATTTATTTTTTCTGCTCTTCATGTTTGTTCAGGAAACTGAGTTCGACAGACTGGCCATGCAGTACACCTCCAGTGTTACAGCGTAGAGCGTCTGCTCCGACAACTGGACGGTGGATTTAAATACAGCACCACCAGAACTTAACTTTGGCTCTATAAAAAAAAAACGCACACCAGAAAATACGATGAGATGATGATGTTGGTATCCATTCCTTTTAACAAATATGTTTGTTGTAAAGTTTCATTTGACATAGTAATAAATGTTTGATAAATGTCACGTGTTCCATGTGGTTATGGAGGCAAACGGAAAGATCTGGAAAAAAATATATATTGTAGACAACGGTGCATGGATAGTTTAGCTTTTTTTTTTTTTTTTGGAGACCAAAGATTGTCAGAAAAATGTGTAGTAATGATATAAGTCAAGGTTGAAGTATATTTTACTGAAGTTATAAACAGTATTTAAACCACACTATTTCTGAAAACGGTGTACGACTACGCGCTGTGGCACCGTCAGTCAAAGTTGACGGTGTCAAACAGAGGACAGGGGCAGGACTGAGGTAGGTAGATGTGTTTGTGTTGTGAACTGTACATTAACACTTGATTTTTTTTATAATTTTTTGTTGATACTTTGTAGTCATTCATTGGTAGTTTGGGTGTTTTTGTATGGTATGGTATTGGGCATTATTTATTTATTTATTTATTGGTAGAGAGATGACCTGTGGGTAAAGGTAAGTGTTTCTGAATCTGGAGGTGCTTGCTTACATTGTCCTCTAGCACCTACTACAGGTTAGTGGTTGAAACAACAGGTGTCCTGGATGTTACCTGCTTTCTGGGTTAAATGGTGTAGTTCTAATATCTTGAAGGTCTGTCTAACTAACAGACCTTATATTCCATCAGACTAAACCTGGACAGAGAACTTGCTGCTAGGTAGAGTTAGCCTCGTTAACGGTTATACTAGTCACGTCCCAGGGCCACAAGGTGGAACGAGTGGTTGGTCATCTGTCCTTACAGCAAGACGATCAATGTTTCTGATCTGTTGTCTGTGTAGCAGTTACATGTTCTCCCTCTGTATGTGTGTTTTTTATATATATATTTTTTAGGGTAATCGGACAGAAATAACCACAGGTTTCTCTCTTCATGTATCCCTGCAATATGCTGGCAAACTGCGTTGGTTCTACCACACCCTCGACCGCTGGGACACAGCCCCACGTCGGTGCTGATCTTGGGCCTCTTGACTCGCTAGAGCCGCCTCTGCGTTTTGGCACGTTAACGATCGGCTGTATCGTGTACAGTCGGTGTATCGTGTACAGTCGGTGTATGAAGACCTGCTCTGCTCTGGCACTGTCTCTTTAAGACATCCGCGTCTCTCTGCTGCGCTTTAGTCCGGATTCGAAAAGATAGCGGTCCTGATGACTTCACGCCCCCTCGGCTTTTTCCTCCCTCCTCTGCGCATAAACGTGCGCTGCCCCACTTTTAACGGACCAGTTGATTTCTGCAGCCGAGTGAGACACGGTGGTTCACGGACGCTCAGGAGGCGACGGGAGGCAGAACCTCCCTGTTTTCCGACCACATTCTCTCCATCTTTGTCTTTTTTTTTGTGTTAACGGATCCAGACGGGAACCGTCGGTTCTTATGAGGCGGTATAGAGCGGTTGCTTATATAAGGCGAGTAACGGTTTTGGGATGAGACTGCGCGGCTGCGTAGCGGTGGTGGCGGCACATTGAGTACATGTGTTGCCCTGTTGGAGGACTGCGGCGGCTGCGTCGGCAACGGAAGCTACAGCGGCACCGCCGGTTGAATCCGCCGGCTCCGTGTTAGATGTCCACCCGGGTTTTAAGTTAATTTATTCCACTATAGAAGTCTCTCCTGCGCAGCCGCGACCAGCGCCGGACTCATCACTATTGTGCGCTCTTGGCTGAACTTAGCTAGGCGGCTAGCGGGGATGTGCGCGGGGGAATGGTGATGATGGAGACGGAAAACCCTCTACAGTCACACCATTTTACACACAAACACACACGGGCGACAATGACTCGGATTAACAGTCGAAGCTCCATTTAGTAATTAGTTTGTCTGGTTATCGGGTCCAACGGTTACAGCAGGACGGACAGCCGGTGTTGGTCAGAGACGCACGGTGGGCCCCGGCTGTTATTTTTATCAAATTATTGACACAAAGGATGGAGCATTTTCTCAATTTAGAGAAGAATAAATAGCCTTCAGCGAGTGTAAGCTGGTTAGATAAGCTAATTTCGACCGTTTAAATGTGCGCAAGCCTTAGCGGGCGGACGGATTAGACGCACAGGCAGTTCCCTACTCCTCCCTGCCTTCCCCCCTCTCTCTCTCTCTCTTCGAGTTTATTATTATTATTATTATTGTTATTTTTTTCCCCACGGGTTTCTCTCACGATGGGCAGTCACGCCGGGGATGTGGCTGTGGAGCCCATGCCTGGATACCTGGACCTGATCAGCAGCGCCTCCTCGTCCATCCTGGGAGCGTGGAGAGACTGTAGCGCCTGCGGTCTGGAGCTCTCCAGACAGACTCTGCTGGATAATGCCTACATCACATGGACCGAGATCGGCCTCTTCATTTTCTGCGCCTACCTGTGCACACAGATCAGACACAAGCTGACGGAGAGTGTCTTCAAGGTGAGTAAAGCACCAACACGTCACTCTTTCTAACGCTGTGAGCCGTGAGATGTTATTTGATAATATTACTATTATTGGATCTGTACAAAAATGTTTTACATTTTATTTTGCATTTAAGAGATTTAATAGTATTGGGGTTTAATATCAGGATATAAAAAATATTGATTATTTATACAGTATAATCACCATAAGAGAAAGCAAAAAAAAAAAAAAATGTTGTTTGGTTTGAGCTAATACATTCTTCCAGTTTGAATTTAAATTTCTGTCTCCCTGGTGGACGTCAGTCTCTTCAGTGACCTTTGACACCCCAGGGTGAATCCTACTTGTCTGTTGTATGACTCTGGTGACCTTTGACCTCTAGAGTGAGGATAAGAGGGTTTCTTTAAAATGTCGTCAATGTCAAGCCGTGCGGTGCGGTGTTGTAACAGCATGTTAGCCTGAAGCTAGCCGGCCCTGCTAATGTTGATTAGTGTTGTCCAACAACAACAAGAACAGTGTGTTTCAGTCAGTCTTTGTATCAGGACACGGGGACACGGGGACACCCGGCAGGTGACAGTTGACTGAGAGTTATTATTAAACGGGAGACACTGAAGAAGAAGAAGACAGAAGGTGTTAGAATCCTGTGGACGTGGAAGACAAACACGTAATGACAGCCTGAGTGAGATAAACACCGCTCACTGCTGCGTCCATGTGGACTGTAATTTCACAGAGGTATTGGCAGTAACAGTAACAGTAACAGTAACAGGGTTAGTGTAGCAGTTTGTGGGAACATTCAGACACGGTTACAAAGTTACTGTAACCTCTGCTCAGTTCACGGGCAGATCAACGTGGACTCAGCAGAGAACTGAGAAAAGTCAGAGAGACGCCGTGTTGTTATTGGTGGAAGAGAACACGACTTGTTTTATCGTACTCTCCACCTGACGATAATCACCGCCAACACCCACCGCTGAACACAGGAGCCGTAAAATGACTCATTTAATCCAGTGCAAAAGGACAATAACGTACGTAATTAACTGTTTGACCTGAAGATCGTTGATTACAAACTTTTCACCTTTCACTTTCTTAGAGTGAAGTCATGTAGCAGTAGCTAGGCATTAGCTTGTTCGTAGGAAAACCCGACTTCACCGGAGGGAATATGTTTTAATGTTTGACACTAATAATAATAATAATAACAATAATAGAGTCCTGTGTTTGTACCACAATTGGAAAGTTTACAGTGTGATTCGCAGAGTTAAGTAAACGGTTGCGAGGCTGCCACACGGGAGGAGACATTAGCGATAAGTGGTTCCATTGGGAATCGAACCCAGGACGCCGTGTTTCTACGGCTGTCATGCTAACTGCTACACTGTGGAAACACTAATGATATAGTAACGAAAACAAATGCAATTATGACTGGTCTGGGAGGAATAGTGAAATGGTTCATCAAAACGCTGTCAAACCCGTGTCACCGCCGTGACGTACGCTTTCTTGCGTGTAGCGCCCCGACAGCGCCCTAACATTTGTTGCCACCTGCAAATTGAAAAAAGGTCAGGGAAACGACGTTCGTTAGGGTTGGGCAACAGGAAATGAGGAAATGCAGTGCTGTAGTTTTGTCAAGAGCAGAACGTATCGTAACACAGTGACACACGGGTGATTCATACGGTTGATTCTTTTTAAATTCTCATGTATTTTCAGAATATTTACCCTCGTCTTGTCGTAACCTGTTAAACGGTTCGGTTTTATTTTTTTTCGTTGCCGATGGTGCAGACATTTTACTGATATAACAATGAGATACTTTGTTCATCAATCATGTATTTTAGAGACGGACAAACTGTATTTAAAGGTATGTTAGTGAGCAATGCTGTGCTTTTATTTAATTAATTTATTTTTACACCTGACAGTCAGAGTTTTCACACAAAAGAACCGTATCTTTGTGTCTCCATCAGACATTTAAAAATCAATCTTTTTCTTCTTTTTTTTTCTTAATATTTTTAGAGAAGATAATTACACGCTGTCGTGCGCACGCACCGCGGGAGCGTACACAGGTGGTCTACGCGTTGATACAGTCCTACTCATTAGTCTCTAGTTTCTCCGGCATTTAGTCCCACTTTAAAGTCACTTATGTTAATTGCTTTTAATTAATTCCATTTCATGTTTTCTTGTTATTTTTAACCGCTCCATCAGTCGTTCAGTTCAGAAATATAAGAAATCCAATCCGACTGAGGCTCCAGAATTCCATGGGTAATTTATTCACATCATTAATTAATCAATGTTGACACTCATCTGAATAACAAAAGTGCTGGCGCTGAAGGAAGTGGACTCTAAGATTCCCACTCCAGTTGATGCCTCCGTGAGTGAACGTTAAACAGTGGCTTCACCAGGTAAACAAATGTCACATGAGCCAGAACAAAGTCAGACAAATATCGAGTGCCTTTGTTAAAACATCTCCACATCAACCGCTTGATTTGATCTCGATTAAGAAAAAAAATCATTAGCTAATTGACTCATGTGCTTTGATGTGCAACTTTATTTTACTTATTAATCACATTAAGCATCTCTGATATCGGTATACACCGGAGAGACTGTGGGACAACAGACTGTAGACCGTAGACCGTAGACTATAGACTGCACCACAGGTGGGTTTATTTGGAGACTTTTGCACCAAAAACTTGCTCTTGAAAGGCGACAGAATCTTCCTCGTTCTTGTCAGTGCCCAGCACTTTTGCACCAAAGACTTGCTCTTGAAAGACGACAGAATGACTCAAAGCTGTAACGTATTATTTAAATCTTCCTCGTTCTTGTCAGTGCCCAGATTATATCAGACTACTCTCTGGGATCGACCTCCTCCTCTGGGCTCCTGTTTTTACTTACTTCCATCTCCAGGGCACCTCCACCCGGTGTCGTAGCCAGGGAAGGGCCCTCTGTCCTGGGTTAGCTCTGTCCTCACTCTGGGCGGAGCTGCACGGCTTCAATGAAGTAAATGTTACTGCACTACGTTGATACTGCAATACTGTTGTTCACTGCCCCGTGTGTGTGTGTGTGTGTGTGTGTACAGCAGTAGAGAACGAGAGCGACCCCTCTGGACAGTTATGTCCAGGTCTTTTGAATAATATGGTTGACGTGAAGGAAGCGGTGAAATTGTAATCAGTCTTTGTGTTTTTATAAGTAGGTTCATTGTTGGGTCAGTTGTTGTTGTCGCCGTTAGACTTTTCAAACGCAGAGCTGGGTCTGTCGTGAGTCCACGACCCCAGTCTTTGAGACCATTTACCACTGGCTTCGAACACAATCGGCCATTTTATCTGTTTGTTGTTAAAATAGAACATTAGAATAAACGACGGTGGATTCGATATCCTGTCAGGAGTGATTGAAATGGTTTTTGCAGCGTGGATGGAAATCATTGATTCGAACGACGACAGGTTGTAATGTCCAACAATAAAGAGGACCGTAAATATGAGCAAAGACAATTAACGGTACACAGACGTGTGTGTTCAGAGATCACCACTGATCAGTTGGTTAAATGTGAGGCCGGACGCTAATGGAGAAACCCATGTTTGTTCTGCTGACAAATACTGCTGGGTAAATACACCGGCTTTGGTTTGAACCTGTCATCAATTGTAGAATGATGGTGTCTGGAATGAAACCCTCAACCCTCGACCGTTGTTCCACCTACGGGGTGACCTGCCTCACTGTAGGACAGACTCCTTTGCAGAAGTTCTTGACGCAATCGAAAAAAAAAGCTAACTGCCAGGAGAGAAGATGTATCAAAAATAATCAGGTTCCCTTTTTTTTCGAGGCTCGACCTGACACTCCAGGTCATCTGTTGACTTAAACATGTTGAAGCTAAGAGTAAAACAGGTTAGGACGGAGTGAAGTCTGCCAGTAATAATGATTCTTTCAGGTTGTCTGAGGACAGTTTCACTCCTGTAACCGTGTCGTCGTACGTCTCTCTGAAGGTGTTAGCACTTTCTCTCTCTCTTTCTGTTTGTGTCATTTGAACTTCTTTAGGTGCAGTTACGTTACAAAAAAAAAAAAAAACCCAACTCTGTATTTAATTAGCATCTGTAACTGGTGACTAAGACCATAATAGTCTGCTGTGACTAATGAGACTATAAATACCGTGAGAAGAAAAATGCGATAAATGCAGAAGAACCGAGGTCACTTCTGAAACCACAAGTATTTAGGAAATAAAAATAAGGCTAGTGTTCTGCCAAATACTAAACAAAGTTTTTTTTTTTTTTTACACGTGTAGCTCATCAGAGTTGCTGGAGAATTTGAATGTGAACGTGCTGTGAATGTGTTGTTAGCTCGTTAGCTGAAGTGGGCAGCTCTCATTAAAGAGAGAGAATCCTCTGTGGACAAACATGCAAACAAAGTGTCTGAGTCTGTGCGTACTTATTTGGGCATCATCACGACAGGAAACACACACACACACATGGTCAGGAAAGGCAAACGGGTGAGGTCCGAGGAGGACTTTGAGTGTGTGTGTGTGTGTGTAGGTGAGGTCCGAGGAGGACTTCGAGTGTGTGTGTGTGTTTGTGAGACGTAGTAGAGTCGTGTTGGACATTAAAGTATGAGGAAGTCTCAGGAATATTTTTTGAACTTTGTCCAAACGTTCCGTGTGTTTGAATGATGACTAAGCTAACTTTAGCCTCACACTTCCTGTTTTCTGTTGCCATGTGCTGCATCGACACACGCTCGTTTTCTGAAGCTGCTCCGTCCTCCTCAAACGCTGTACATTGTAATACACACTGTAGTCATCTTCATCATCATCATCATCATTGTGTTGTTGTGGAGTTAAACTTGGGTAAAATTCTTTCTGTTGCAGTGTTACAGTTTGAGCTTTTTAGTTTAAGTTCAAATATATTTCCATAATAAAAACCTTATTGTGATTCATCAACAGTTTCTACCTTAAACTAAAAGCATTTATTTTTGATCAGCTGTGTCATATTTACTGGTAACACATTGAAATTTTTTTTGTTAAGTCACAGTTTCTCATTTATTCACTCTGTTTCAGCCGGCCT